TGTGTCTCATGCATGGAGTAGGAAGGTCTTAATGGATTAAGACCATGTGTTAAGAACTTTCTAGACGTCCAAAGTGATAAAGTTTAAGACTTTATGGTTCCAAGGCACTTTTGTTCAATGGATCTGGAGTTTGGACTTAATTGCTTAAACCATTAAGCACTTATTAGGGTTTTGGCAAAACCCCGCGTACGCCCCGCATAAATTCTGTACGCTCAGCGTACTGGGTCAACCACCCCGATGGTGGTCAATGTCAGGCAGAGTACGCCCAATGTACCAGAGGAGTACGCCCCGCGTACGTCCTTTGTTGGGCTTTTGACAAATTGGGCTTCGGGATTGGGCTGCTTTTGGACTAATTGCACTTGGTCCTTGTTGGGCCCTCTGAATAATTGAGGTTGGGCTAATTTTGATAAAGGATCCTATAATAAGGCCCAATTAGGAAGTTAGGCCCAAATTAGGAAATTTGGGCCATTAATGGGATTCGATATATGGGCTTTTAAGATCATGGATTTGGCAATTGGGCCTTGGCCCAATAAAGAGGAAGGACAAAATGGATTATGTGGACCCTTAGTCAATATTGATATTCCATGTATTGACATAATGTTTATTATTTGGATAGTTCGGGATTTTGGTGAGCCAGCGATTCGGAGTTTGATCCTTTAGTTCAGAGCGACATTGCGAGGTGAGTTATCCTCACTATATCAACAGGGTCTAAGGCACCATTGTCGGCCCTTATCGGATTTGTATCCGAGTTTATTGCATGATATGCTTTTTGATTTACATCCTGGTAGTTAGGATGGTGATATGCTTAGTGACCTGGTTAGGTCGGTATCCTGGTATATAGGATGATGCTATGTTAGTGACCTGTTAGGTCTGTATCCTGGTTATAGGATGTTGCTATGATTGATGATCTGTTAGATCGGTTTGACTGTTATATATGCTAGCGTATGATATTATGTGCACATGTTTATTTGATTGGAGGATTGGGTTGAGGCGGTCCTGCTTTGTGCTGAAGGCCAACATACCCAGGGCGGTCCGGATAGACTACAGGCCCAGGAGGGCTTGTTGGTCAGACCGAAGGCCCGACGAGCGGTCTGGATAGGCTGTAGGCCCTATGAGGCGGTCCAGACGTGCCGAAGGCTCAGAGAGCGGTCCAGATAGGCTGAAGGCCTGCGAGGCGGTCCAGTCAGGCTGAAGGCTCATTATGCGTGCTGTTTGCTTATATGTTATTGATATGTTTTATGGCATTGGTATTTTGGGGGTAACTCGTTAAGCCTTCGAGCTTACATTTATCGATTATTGTTTCAGGTACTTCTGATGATCGCGGTAAGGCGAAGGCGTGATCGTGCACCTCCTTATATTTTTCATGATTTGATTTTGGGGATACTCTGATGTTTAAACTATTTTGAAAACAAATTATAATAACTTAATGGTTTTAAATGTTTTAAAAAGTTTTAAATTGGCTTGAATTTTATGGGTGTTACACAGCCTCCATGTCCCAAACCCTAATCCAAGAAACCCTAGAGCTTTCTTTGAGAGTGTGAGCCATTTTGAGTGATCTTGTGTGTGCTTTTGAAGCTTGTGGAAGAAGAAGATAGAAGGCTCAATAGGGAAAGAGTAGATCCAGAAACTACACTCAATTTGCTACATTTTCTGGTAAACAAGTTTCTATCTTGTCCATTAGTTCATTAGATCTCTTTATGTCATCTTTACGTGGGTTTTTGGTCCAAGAATGATAGCCTTTGGAGAATGATCGACCCAAGTGGGTATTCTTCCAGATCTAGGATCTAGAGGGGTTGTTATGACATAAAGGTGAAAACTTTATGCCATTGGAGCCCCCATGCAGGGCCATAGAGTGTCATATTGGCCTTTTTTAGCCCCAAAAGGCCATGCATGCGGGGAAGGGTGGGAACTTTACGTGTCCAAGTAGTGTTAGGGGTTTAGATATGAGGTTGTAAGCTTTAGTTTGGTGTATGGATGGTTTAAGGACCACGTTCTAGGTCCCAAGGAATTAGGGTTTGAGCTAAACCCTTTAAAAAGAGGTATTAATGGGTAAAGTCATAAACTTTACCCTTAAAAGGACATTTTTAGGGTTTATGTGAAATATGAAGCTTGGATCTGAAGTATAGGGGCTTAATCCATTAAGGTAGCCCAAACAGACAAGGGAACCCGGCGAGTCCAGAAAGGGACTCGACGAGTTGAAGTCAGGTTGTCCCGATTGTATGCCAGGTAGAACTCGACGAGTCTGTGAAGGGACTCGACGAGTTGACTCGGTTGACCACGAGTCTGAGTAGTATAGGAACTCGCCGAGTTAGGAGGTAACTCGACTAGTTAAGTTGACTGGGAGTTGACATTGACTTTGACTTTGACCAGGATGTTAACTTTGACCAGGGGTAAAATGGTCATTTTACCCTAAGAAGGATTATCGGATTTTTGATTAAGTGTTATTGTGAAATTGATAGTCGGGGAGTCGTTGGAGTAGCCGTCAAAGATTCCTCACACGAGATTTCACAGGTAGCATTTGAGGTGAGTTTTCCTCTAGTAGGAATGGGTCTAAGGCACCAAGGCCGGCCCGTTTAGTTAGTAGTAGTTCTGGACTACGGTCCGATGTCGGGCGGGGCCCGATGTAGGTTTATATGCTTTTCTGGATTTCGATCCGATGTCGGGGCGGTCCCGAGGAATGCTTGTATGCTTGATATCTTTGTGATTCTTGTATGTGTTTGTACTTGTATGTTCCGGACTTTGGTTCGATGTCGGGGTAGTCCCAATGAATGTTAGTATGTTTCCGGATTACGATCCGATGTCGAGCGGGGCCCGAGGAATGTTTAAATGTTAATGATATATGCGTAGGTTTATGTGTATTATTTGATTATGTTCACATGTATTCTGAGATGCGCTCGATGTCGGGCGAGGCTCGATGCAGGGCGGGGCCTGATGTCGAATAGGGTTTGATGTCGGGCGGGGCCAAATGTCGGGCAGGGCCCGATGCCGGGCGATGACCTGATGTAGCAGGGGTGGCGCCCAAGATATGTTTATGTGATATGTGTATCGTATCTGGTAGTTGGGGAGACTCACTAAGCTTCGTGCTTACAGTTTTCAGTTTTGGTTTCAGGTACTTCCACTAGCAAGGGGAAGAGCTCAGAATGACTGCAGGGCATACACCACGGTTTTTAGCCTGGTAGGATTTACTCTGATGTTTGACATATGATTTTGATACATAGACAGATATTATGTGATTTTTGAGGAACATGGTTTATGACTTTTTATGTGATGGATGATATTTAAGGTTTTTACTAATGAATTAAAATGAAAATTTTGGACTATATTTTTGGGATGTTTCAATTTTCAACCCACAATAATTAAGTTCTTTAATTTTCATCAAATCATACAACCCGATTACTCGTTCCTGTTATCCTCACTTTCTGTCCCTAAAGCATCTAATTTAAGGGACCTAACTTAAGGATTATCTTCGGGATTGACTATAATGATTAGGGTATTCCTCAGCAATATATGTCAGTAAGACAACCATGAGAGTAACGGAATACACCTGGTGTACACATCGTTCACAAACACCTACAGGTTAATTGCGAGTCTGCTAGCGTTCCACTGGACTGTTTAGAATAGTCTGTGGTCGTCATCTATACTTCGCTAGATAACTGGATCAACTTTAACATCAACGCCTCTTATCATTTATTTCATCTTTCATCATCTATATCATTTACCCATCTTTACCCAACATAATTATAGGTATAAAATACATATCATATACAGTTTAAATCAAGTAAAACATGTATAAATCGTTCATCAACATAGATATCGTGAACACAAATAATAGGCAATTATACGCATATATTAAATCCCCTCGAACTTAGGAACAATGCTTTTTATGTGATTCGCATTTTGACCACAAAATTTTGTTTTTTCTCAATTTCTCCGCTGCAATGTTTCCCTATCACTTAAATACGAGAGACGTATCACCATTAAACCGATTATCATTCATCTTTGCCTTCGTCTTTCCCTTTTTTCTGATTTCTTATTTGTCTTTTCTTTGCTTCCAAGAATTTTGTGATGTGTTGGTGCAATGATTTTTGAGGTTTCGCAACGACGCGGACGGCTGTTTCGTCGCACCCAACCATCAGTTTCAAGCAAGTATCTATTTTGATTTGAGAATTAAGTAAGTTATCTATATTATGTATGTGTTCATACCTGTTTTTTTATGCTTTTAAGCAATTCTCTATTTCGATTTTGGGTTAGTCATTTTTTTTCTTTCAATTTTTGGTCTTGGGTTCTACCATCAATCACTTTGGGTTAGGGTTTGGTTTACTTTTATTATTTATGAATTGTCTAATACGTAGTATCAGTATTAGAAATTGGTTCAATTGTTCATCTAATTAGGATAGTAATCTTGATACGCCTATTCCCTCTATCAAGGTGATGATCCTTCAATTTCAGATTAGCGCTTCAAATCTGAAGGTAAGATGTAGAGGTTAAGGTATATAAGATGAGTGAATTTCAGAGGTATGTTGTTTGTAGAATTGCTTCCTTACGTATCTGTTGTTTTGTTTCTTTCTTGCCTATTGGTGTGTTCTATGTTTTTGTTTATTTTGATGATACTTTTCTGTGCTCTGCTGGTTACATAGTGCATCTATGTGATTTTTGTTGTCAATCTGCTTACTCTGGTATGTCTCCTATACCGTGTTTTTGTTGTTAATGATACTTTATTGTGGTTAATGTAAGCAAACTGCAATGATTCAAATCCAATGATGTTGCAATTCATACCCTATCCTTTTTGGTTTGTATGTGCAGGTTTTACTAACATACCATGGTTTTGGTTACAAACTGAAAAAAAGTCCATCAATTTTTAGAGGTAGGAGGTGAGACTCCATAATTAACGAACAAAGTAAGTTTCCTTCTGCTTCCAATATGTACACATTCAATTATATTGTTATCTTCTTATTCAAAATACATTTACAAATGTGTTGTTTGATTTCTTAGGTTTGAATATGCAAATCTCCATTGTTTATCAGCCTTTCCTGGATCGGAGTTGGAACATCCTCTGCAACATGACGAATCAGGGTTCATTGACGGTTTCTATGTTGCAAATGACCATGGGCTTTGGTGAAATTTGGTATGGAAAACAAAATCCTCATACCGGTCTTTTTGATGGTTATGATTTTGGATTCTGATTAGTTATGGAAGGAAGAGGACTGTGATGGAGGTTACGCTTTCTCATGATTGTAATTGTGTTGTAGCGAACATTCTGGCTGCCAACTTTAACATAACTTAGTTATTGAAATGGAGATGTATTTTAGTTATGTAAATCTTTACAAATGGAGCTGTATTTTAGTTATTGAAATATTAATGGTAATAGTTTTTTGTTTAATGATACTCTACAATTGCTGTCTTTGGATCTTGTATATTTTATAATTGTTAAACTAGTGCAATTATCCAAGAAGAACACTGATTCTTAATCAATTTTTTGTATCATAAATACAGCAAGGGCCATTGGCTGGCATCATGAAAATTTTATTTCTGAAATGAGTTTAGTGGGAGATGTTTACTTATAAATTCAATACTCATATTTACTCAGTGGACAGTATGAGAAAACAGGGATAAGTATGTATTCGTAATGTTAAAATGATGAAGATGCTATCAGTTTTGAAGATGTATATGCTCTTTTCAACGTTTTTTTTTCTTCTGGTCATTCGATAAACTCCAGGATTTTACGGAGCATGAGAATTTCGATTACGGATTAGACTATGTTAGTAATGATCAGGCAGTTATCGCGGGTTTTTACGTTGAGTTCTAATTTCCTTTATTTTTTCAAATACAATTTCATGAGTAGGGATTGTATTGATTTTGTTATGTGTATTGTAATTATAGTGTAATTTTCTCATCTGGCAAGCTTGCCAGGACTGCAAGTTAAAAATAGATTGTTCTGTGATTGCAAGATCTTATAATAACAATATGGAAGAAGGGTAATGAAAGGAGTTAACTTCTTGATGTTGCAGTGTCTATTAACTTTTTGAACAGAACATTGATAAATTATAAACTTTTTCAATCTATATGTCATTGCATTTGCAATGTGATTTATACTTTTTCGGTGCAGGACTTTACATGGTCTTTGTGAGACAGATAAACTTCATTTCTTTCAACAGAGAGTTCTAAAAGAAAAACTATGTATGATTTACCTTTTATACTTCCACAATTGTGAATTGATGTGTTGTATCTAGGACTTTAATGGCAGGAAAAATGAATTTCAACAACTTGAAGGTACCCGGCAAGCCTGATGGCAGTGCAGCTTCTGCATTGCTCAAGTTTCAAGCCATTGTTGGTAAGAATGATTGTCAATAGAATGTAAAAATCGGAGAATTGGTGGAGGTTACACATGTAATTAAATTATATAAAAGATCTTGCATGAATAAAAATTAAAGTCTTAGTATAAGTGATTAATAACAAGTGTTATGTATTAATTTCAGCACAATCCACCATTTACACTTCCTTTTACACGACGTGATGAAATCTCCATAGGAATGGGAAGAAAACAAGCTGGCATAAAGTTATAGGAGGGGCCTCTAGGTCATTTTGTATTTATTTGAATACAGAAAGTCATTTATCTAAAACAATCTAATGAATGAGTATGCTTTTTTAACCAATTAGCTAGCTTATTTTACTTAAGTCTATATATTTCAGTTAAGGGGTATTTTTGTCAATTACCATTATGTTACCGAATTTGTTTTGACTTTTGACCAATAGGAAAAGAATGAAACTTTTTTGTCTACTCATGGAATTGAAACTCAAAGTTCAGCTACATAATAGGAAGACAGGCAATTGCAATGAATCATGTGTGTGTATGCATGTCAAAATAGAAACCCCCCCAAAAAACGACTCGTGGTTCACCACGGGTTCACTTACAAGTTTATATTAAATACTTGATATATATATATATATATATATATATATATATATATATATATATATATATATATATATATATATATATAAGATGAAAGTAACTATGCACCCACTTGTTAAAGCGACGACTCGAAATTCGGGCGACACTTCGGTTCTAGCAATTGTCTTTTCCTTTGACGTAACCTAGTGTCATTATCACTAAGTCTTAGTCTAATATTTATTATGACTAACTATTAGTGTAGATTCATCATTAATTTAAAGTCTACTTCAAGATCTATCAAGTAAGGAACAACCAGGTATGATCATATCAGAGGTAGGGTCCGTTTGGTATACGAAGTATACTGTTTGGAAATCCCACTTTAAACACCTCACTAAATCCAGCGTGGACATCATCCCCGTAAGTAGATCAATCAGTATAACGACTTGGAATCACTGATAAATCTTGTTTATAGGTTCATAATAACGGTATTGAACTTAAACATAACTTATACTTAAAGTATGGTAAGCATAACTCACTTACAGGGGTGTTTAGCGAGAAACCGGGCTCTGCGCGGGCATAACTTCTGAGCCGAAAGCTCTTCTTCTCGAGGCATTATGGCGCTCCATCCTTCGCTAATAACACCTAGGATGTGCTAGGGAAAGGCTTAGAAGCTTGGGGGGGGGGGGGGGTGTTTGGGAGAGAATTGGTTGAGAATGTGTGAAGAAAAGTGTGATTTTCGCCATCTATTTGTAGGCTAAAGGAGCCCACGTATGCGAGGCGTGCCCGAGCTGTATGCGGGGCGTACACATTCTACGTGGCGCCATCTCGTTCCAAGCCGTAGGGAATAAGTTGTGGCCTAGATCTTACCACGTGTCACTCCGAGGTTTAATCCGAAATTAATTATCTTCTAAATTCCGTAACTTTCGCATATGAGCTCCGTTTTTTACCTTCTTTTTATCCACGCGTAGGTATCGACGTGATCTACAACTTTTGTTTAGACTCTATCGGTTAATTTTAAATTTATTTTTAAAGTTATATTTTAACAGGCTTAGACAATTAAAGTCCGTTAAAAATTCATAACATTATCATCCGACGTTCGTTCTCAACTGTATTTATATCGTTGAGTTCCTATTAATGAGATTTTCAATTCTCGTTTAGGTTGTGTCGGCTAATCATCGATCGATCTAAAATTCGATTTTCGGGTTGTATGCTGCTATGCTGAATCTTAAAAAAATCATAACTTCCTCTAACGAAGTCAGATTTGGACGTTCTCTATACGCACGCTCTCGGTTTAACGTCTACTATGACTTTTGTTTAGATTGCTAAGTCTAAGAAGTATTTTATCAAAACTTTACTTTTTACGATACGCGGAGTCGTGCCGGTTTAATCGCAAAACTTCGACGGGTCATAACTTCTTCGTTATAAGTCGGATTTCGGCGTTCTTTATATCTCCAGAATCATTGTTACGACTACTTTAACTTTATACAAAGACATTGAGTCTAATTATTATTTTATTTTAGACGCATATTTTATTCCTATTTTATTATATCGTTATAAGCACGCATATTGCACATAAATCGCATAATACTCAAATAATTCTTCTTCGTTACATAAAATAGGTTACAATTGTTGACCCTAACTATTACATCATCATAATAATGCTTAGCCACAAACACAGGCGTTACAACAATGTACTTTCAAGAAAGAATCATCAAAACCATCAAATCCCAAAAAATACCCATTCAAAAGCAACAAATTTAAAAATCTAAACGACTTAGGAGTCTATGATGCAAAAACAACATTAACCACGAACTAAGATTGTTTGTAGAAGTAAAATGCATTTACTTTTCTTCATTGGTTACCAAAAGAGGCATTGGTTGTTCATATGGTGGTGACAATCGAGTAGTTTTAGAAGTAGACAAATTCTCCATTTCATCAAGATTTATGCATGTAGCAAGGTTTTTTTTCAAGTCAGTTGGTGTAGAAATCAACTTTGTAGGACTTGTTGCTGTTGAGTTGTCCCTAGCACATGGTGTTAAATTTTCACATGTCTGTGAAAAAACATCCTAGAAAATATTTTAGTTAGTTCTTATACATTAAAACGGAATATTTGAGAATTATAATTTAAAAAGTACAACCTTGAAAACTTTGGTCTCTTAGGAACCAATATTTGAAGAACCAATCAGGAAGAAATCAGAGTTACCAGGCTGTATCATAATAACAAAACTAAATGTTGTCAAGTCAGATATAGTTGGGTCAATGGGGTCAAAAATAAGTATAAGTGTTAAAAATAACATGTGGAATAAGATTCATTTTTTCCGGTTTATCAATTATTTATGCATTCTCAGTTAATATTGTTATCCCATAAACATTACTTTTATTATTGACATTGTAACTTGTGATATCAACCTTAATTGCCAACTTTTTGTCCACCACAACTTTCAACTCCATTGGAAACAAGTCCAAACTGAAACCAAGCTAAAATATAAATAAATATTGTTAGAAAATTTATAAGTGAAATATGTAATATATAACTTAAATAAGTAATTAACAACTATATAAGAATACATTCTTGTTTTTTTCATAGAACTCTTTAGTTGTGAATTTGAACAACTTCTTTGCTTCTTGATCAAATAAAGTTAAATTCAAGGTTCTTATGTTGTCTTGAACCCGAAGTGGGACTTTAAATCTAAATAAAATATAAATTATATTATATTACATAAAATATGATAAACATATATTGTTAATATGTAAAGTAAATATGTAATAGCTTGGAGTAACTGAAATTTGGATGTTTTTGCATATAGGATTACCACATTCATAAGTAACGATTTTGGCTACTTCATGAGAACCATCAACCTTATCAATAGGAGATGATTTTTGTCTTGCTGACTTTTTGCAGTTGCTACAAGCAAGGTAATCCAACGTATGTCTTGACGCATTCTCTTAACAGTACCAACAATAATGGTCGTTTTTTGCTGTAAAATAAAAAAAATTAAGAAACATATAATTTAAGAGAAAAGTATGTGTGTATAAAGAGTAAAAAAAATAACGATGTAACGCCTGGTATGTACTTTAAATAGAAATTTACTCACTTTTATATGAGAACTCGACGAGTTGGAGGCCCAAACTCGTCGAGTAGGGGTTATTTTGGGACGCGGGTTCAGGAACCTACTCGGCGAGTTGGGAGCCCCAACTCGACGAGTAGGACTGCCAGAGTGAAACCCTAATTTCGGGGTTTTGCACCCTATTTAAGCATCTTAATCCCATTATGCCAGCCTCATTTATAGCCTCCAAGTACCAAAACCCTAGCCACGAAACCTTAGAGCCTTGTGTGAGTTTGTGAGGTATTTTTTAGTGAACTTTGTGTGATTTGAAGCTTGTAGAAGAAGAAGAAGCTAGAGGATTCAAGGAGAAGATTGTAGGTCCGGAGACTTCCTTCCATCCTCATCATTTTATGGTAATCAAGTCTCTAACGTGCCTAGTAGTCTCTTAGATCTCATTGTTTTCACTTTATTGGGTTTTTGGTCCAAGAAGCTTGAGCCTTGCGATATGGACGTCCCAAGTGAGGATACCTTCAGATCTGGAATCATTAAGGGTTGTTATGGCATAAAGGTGCAAACTTTATGCCATTGGAGCCCCATGCAGACTCTAAGATGTCATCTTGGCCTTTTTAGCCCCAAAAGGCCATGCATGGAGGAAAAGGAAGAAGCTTTACGTGTTCAAATGATGTCTAAGGCCTAGATCTATGTGAGTATGCTTTAGTCTAGAGTATGGATGACTTGTGGACCAAGATCTAAGTCCTAAAGATTTGGGGTTTGAGCTAAACTCGTCAAATGGGGGTATTAGTGGGTAAAGTTGGAAAGTTTACCCGTAAAATGACGTTTTCAGAGTGTATGAGAAACTAGAAGCTTAGATTTGAAGAGTAGGGGCTCAATCCTTTAAGATGGACCAAACAGACTGAGGAACTCGACGAGTCCAGAGAGGGACTCGACGAGTTGAGTCGTTTTGTCCCGATTTTGTACAAGGTAGAATTCGGCGAGTCTGCCACGAGACTCGACGAGTTGATTCCCCGAATTGCGACTATGAGTAGCAAGGGAAATCGGCGAGTCAGGGGGATGACTCAACGAGTTGGATCACGATTTCAGGGTTTTTGATTTATAGAACTCAGCGAGTTGATGAGTCAACTCAGCAAGTTGAGTCAACCCATAACGTTGACTTTGACCATAATGTTGACCTTGACCAGGGCTAAAATGGTCATTTTACCCTAAGAAGGATTATCAAATTTTGACTAAGTGTTATTGCGATAATGATAGCCGGGGAGTCGTTGGAGCAGCCGTCAGAGATTCCTCACACGAGATTTCACAGTTAGCTTATGAGATGAGTTTTCCTCCAGTAGGAACGGGTCAAAGGCACTAATGTCGGCCCGTTTATGTATGCTAGAGTATGCCGGACTTCG